ATATGCCCCAAAAACAACAAAAAAAAAGGGAGCCAGTCAAAAAATGGGCAGAGGACCTGAACAGACACTTCTCCCTACAGGACATACAAATGGCCAACAAATATGAAAAGATGCTCAACATTGCTAGCTATCAGGAAAATGAAAATCAAAACCATAATAAGATACCATCTCACACCTATTAAAATGGCTATAATCAACAGTACAACTAATAACAAATGTTGGAGAGGATGTGGAGAAATAGGATTCCTCTTGTCGGACTGCACGTTGGTACGGCCACTATGGAAAGTGGTATGGAGGTTCCTCAGAAAACTAAGAATTGACCTACCATATGATCCAGCAATCCCTTTACTGGGTATTTACCCCAAAGACTTGAAAACTCATATTCAAAAAGATATTTGCACACCAATGTTCGTAGCAGCATTATTCACAGTGGCCAGGACATGGAAGCAACTGAATTTCCTACGATAGATTATTGGCTACAGAAGTTGTGGTACATATATATAATGGAATATTACTCAGCCATAAGTAGAGGTAAAATACTGCCATATGCAACTACTTGGATGGTATCACATATGTGAGATATAAACCTAAAAGCAACAAATGAACAGGACAAATAAACAGAGACTCATGGACATGAGTGGTTACCAGAAGGAAGGGGGGAGGGGGAAAATAAAATGTTAAAATGTTAAAAAAATTATGTATATATAGTATGAAAAAAATAAACTGGCATTAAAAAAAATAGCTATTTATATGTAGCACAATATCTGGAATACATAAAGTGCTCCTGAATTTTAGCTCATTATTGCTTCCTAGTAGAGTCCACATTGTGGTAAATTTGCAAGTCAGCATTAACGTAATCCTTTAGCTGTGATCTAAGGACATTTGTTTTTACATTCTGTGTCCTACATTTCAGGATGGGTAGGAGAATGGAAGCGTAGAAGTAGTGATCCTCTAATAGCTAACAGTGTCAAATGGTTCTCCAAGAAGAAAGGCTATTGAAATAATTAAGACCATAGTTTTAACACCAGGAGCAATTAGAAATAATATCTAGTTGGAAATAATATTTTTTTTCATTTGTCAATATAATAGAATCAAACTTTTTTATACCTAACAAAATAGAATGCAATATTGATATTCCAGAGCTGAGAATCATTCAGCTAATCCACTAAGCAGAACCTCTAAAATAAAAACAGTAGCTTACAACTAACTTTAGGTAAAGTAAATAATATGGAAGAAAACAAAACAAAGGTTAGCTTTCTCTATAACTATCACTCAACATACAATAAAATGTCACATCACTTAAAGAGAGGAGGTCTGAATTGTCAAATGTTAATTTTAGATTTTAATTAATTTCTGAAAAAAATTGGTGTGTCATCACAGCCCAAATGATTTTAAGTAGAATGTTATTTGTTGTCAGTGAGATATACTAATTATTTTAATTCATTTCTAAGTAGGCTATCACTATTTTTTTTTTATCAACTGTGTTTTCAAAGGTAAAGACAGGTTTCAGCCCAGCTGTTTGAGTTGCTATTGATTTTTGGATTAACTATTGTTGTTTTAAAATAAAATGTTATAGTCTTTTTTGGTAAAATGCTCTTGGGAGTACCGTCAGAAGTAGAAGTACATCTGAAATGAGCTATTGATTACTGATGGCTCTTTGACATGATAACAGTCTAATGCTAAAGCTGAAATGTCTTCACCATACACTGTGAATGAGGTCAGCCCTTATCCCCAGTCCTTTCCTCCTTAGGATTCCATCGTTTATACTTCTTTGTAGTTATCAATCTGGCCTTGCAGGACAATTATTTGTATTTTCTTACCCTAATAAAATACAAATGCTGTAAGGCACAAACTGGCAAACACTCAGATAAATTATTAAATATTTACTATATCCACAGTATTGTGCCTTATACAGCACTTGTCCTTGTCATTTTATTACTCATAGTGCCTAGATTTCCTCTTGACTCTTTTTCTCTTTCATTCCATGACGCTCTATTTTTTGCCTCTAACTTTTCTTGCTGCTATTTCATGGTGTATTTTGCCTCTTCCTTTAGTAGATTTCTGAAGATGAAGATGGCCAAGGTGTGTTTCTGAACTCTCTCCTCTTTTCAATACTCACGTGCTCTGGGTGATCCCATTTATTCTCATTCATTTAAAATATCATCTTTATGTCAATGACTCTGAATTTAGTATCTCTCTTACAGACACGTCTTCTGAACATCAGAGTCTACATATTCCAATTGCCTTTGAAGTTTCATTGGTATCAGCAAAATATCTTAAAGAAAATCCTGATCTTTCCCCCCAAATCTGGTCCCACTCTTTAGGAAAGCACCAGCATGTGCCCAATTGGCAAGCCAAGCTCTGGGAAGTGATCTTTGATACATATTTTCCCTTATCCTCCCTCCACATTGAATCCTTCATCAAGTCCCGTTGATTCTACCTCCAAAACATCATCTTCCTCTGGGCCCTCCTCTCTATAGCCCGGCCTTCATGCCAGCTCACAGTACAGGTACCTCTTTTGGCCACTCTGGTCCAATCACCAGAGTCATCACAGTGGTCTTTTAAAATCTTAAAGCAGATCACACTTTGATTCTTATTGTTCTTAAGATAAGATTTAGAAATCCTCAACATGGCTTCAGACTCCATATAATCAGGCCTTCTTTTCCAGTTCCTATCTCATGCTACATACCACCTCTGTAATCCAGCGACAGTAACATTTTTTGAATCCCAGAGATTTGATGAGTTTCCCCCTGCCACAAATTAGGGTTTTGAGAACCCCCTTTCTACCAAGTGAAGTCCCACTAATCCCGTCAGCTTAACATCATTTCCTCAGACAGGCTTTATCCAACCCCCTTTTATATCTTGAAGTATCCTGAACTTTTCCTTTATCTCACCTATGGTAATTGGCAAGCTTTATTTCATTCGATGATTATTTGCTCAATATCTGGCTCCCCATTGTTCAAAAAAAACTACTGAGGGCTAAGATCATGTCTGTTTCGTTCACACTTCAGACCCAGGACCTGCCACATAGTGGAAAGTCAATAAATATTTGTGGAATGTGTAGAATAAATAGGAAATAAATGTTCAAAAGCACATTGAAATACCGTATAATAGAATGTGCTTAAAATTTCAGGCTATAACTTAACATACAGAAATAAGTTTCTGATAGCCATGTGAAGAACCCTAGTTTGTGACTAAACCAAGCGTTTGCTGTTCTTCTGACCTATCGAATTTTAGTATTGTTATTACCAAAGAATACATTTGGCAATAGGAAAAAAATATTTTTTATCAGTTTGACATTAGATATTCATTGATCACCTACTGTTTGCATGGTATTGTTCTAGAAGTTTGGAATATAGCTGGTGTGATGCAGCTTACTTTCCCGTGGGGGACAGACAGTAAACAAGTACACAGAAAATTTCAGCTCTTGAAAAATACTATGAACAAATAAAACAGAGTAATGACATGGGTGGGGTGGTTAGAGAAGTCCTATTCGAAAAGTAACATGTGAGCTGAGACCTGAGTGACAAGGAGTTGAGTATAAAAGACCGGAGGGAGAAGTCTTCCGGCACATGCAGAAGCACTGAGGCACTGACACATCTTTGAGAAGCAGAGTTGTGCTCGGTGGTCCTGACGCCTAGCAAAGGAAGGAAGAATACAAGCTTCTAGAGTCACAGATAGCTTGGCTTAAAGTTCTGACTCTCCCTTTACTTGCTATTTATTAAAAAATGGGCATAATAGAAATGTCGCTAAATAAAATGAGGGTAAATATTAGCAATAATGTACATCAGTGATAATTTAAACATAATTTATCTATCCTTCATTTAATTTATGTCAAGGAGAGACTAGTAAAGTGAATGTTCAACCAAGGGCTGTGTTTATGCGTTTAATAGTTTACTAATGGATTATATTTTAAAATAATGTTGCTAATTATTTACAAACATTCATATTTACATTGATTTCTCACAAAAGGTTAAAAAGCTGAAGAGGGAACTCTCGCAGATGAAGCAAGAATTGCTCTATAAAGAACAAGGCTTTGAAACATTGCAACAGTGAGTATAAAAATGCCGAAATTGATTTTAGAATAATTCAAAGCCCACTAACTAATACAAAGAAAATAGAAGTTCAGATTACATAAGAGATTTCTCAAAGAAACATAAAGTAAAAAGCTCAAAGTTCTGAACCAAAAACCTAAAAAGCAATCAACCAACAAACAAAAAGCTTGGGAAAATCTATATACATTGAAAAGGTCCGACGTTTTTATTAATCGTTGGAAATCCAAAGAAACCAAAGTGAAAAACTTTACTTTGTCTCCTGGGCACCTGCCAGCTGCTCCAAGATTGAAGGGTGTGTGAGGCTGAGACTGGGCACAGAAGTGCTCTCCATGCTCTTCCCTAGGGCGGCACTGAATGCGCCTCCTCTTGCTGCCCTAGGCATGGGCTGGAGGTGTCCCTCAGCCTCTGTCAGCCCCAGCCATGACCCAGAGTTAAACCGAGACTGATCTCAGAGAGTGAGTTGGGATTGTCAGCAGAGGAGCTTGAGTGAGTCCCTCACTTCCGGGTGCCTTCTGTCCTTCCCAGTTCTATGCTGAGTCTCATAGGCCGTTGGCATAGCTCTGGCTGGGCCAGGTTAAATGAAGGTGTAGATGACAGAGGGTTGTAGGAACTGGAAACCCCTACCCCACTGCCAGTCCCTGGAAGTCACTGTACTCCCCACTAAGAGGCCTGGCCTAACTAAACCCTGACAGGCTCACCAAGACTCCCCACCTCTCACAGTCCCCACCCCCAGGGGCGCTGATGCAAGGGAGGAAGCCGATGGTTTTCACAGATACATGACCAGAAGGCAGTATCCTTTGAAAGGACTTCAACTGCTTTTGACTTCCCTCCTCTGTGATGCAGGGCTCTGTGCCACCAATTGTGGTGCAGTATTTATAGGGATTTCCCTGATCCGTCTTGTGTTCGCATCTCCTTCAGTAGCAATCCAAGGCAGCAATGTGTCACCCCTTTTAAAGATCCTATATGTTCGCTGGCCAGGCAGACATAAGCTGTTTGTTCTGTATGTTTGTTTGGATGATGAATTATATCTCAAGACATCTAGTCACTACCCTTGACCACCAGTCATGTGACTTTAGTTTCAGATATTGATTTAATGGCTCACTCTTCTGTTTTGCCTACTCACCTCATGTAATCTTGATCATGTTATTCTTTCAGATGCTCCCATCCTGGTGTTTCTCTAACCTGACTTCATATTAACATAATCTGAAGAGCTCTTAAAATAACATGTTTCTAGTCCTCCACCCCAGGTGTATTTTATGACTCCCCATGTAGTTCTTAAGCAGAACTATGTTCTCAGAACTTCAGTTGGTTGCAGAGCTCCCCTAAAAACCGGGCAGACCGAGAATGACACAGATGTGTTATTTAGTAATTGTATGTCAACATAAAGGAGGGCTTTGCGGCAGGAGTGGAGAGAGAAAACAAATTTTAAAGAGCACCACAAAATGCTTAGCCATTCGTTAAACATTTTTGAGGCACTTGAAATTATAACTCATGTCACCACCCGGGATTAAAGGTTAGCCAAACTTGCTGTTTTTGTTATATTGATATAACAATGCCGTATTGTTTCAAAGCAGTTTGCTTACAAGCAGTTTTTATAGGAATCTAAGGCATGTTTAAGAATCTGTCAATAACATTCCACAAGAAAACAATAGACATTTGTTGTAGGAACTCAGGCATTCTCTTGTAATGATTCTAATTCCTTGAACCAAGAGCAGGAAGATATGATATCTAACATCAGAAGGCCTCTCTTGTCGATCTTAACTATAGACAAAATAAAGCTGTTTTCATTCAAATGTTAACCACCATATGACTATAACATTGAATAATAATTGATTGAACCCAGAGACCATAGTTTTCAAGAAACCACATTCCTGGTACTATAAAGGGACTTTTACATGGAGTATAACAAAAAATATATTTCAGGAAAAGATTTAAATAGAATCCCACTGCAGGCTTTTGCAGTTTTTCACTCATTCACAATAGAATGAAATATTTTTGTTGAATCTGGAATTACAATGTAACTTAAACTCAGCTTTCATTTTACTTGGTATAATAGTTCATACCAGATGAGAGAATGTGGTCTTATTCTCTATGTTATTCATTTCAGTCTTTGGTTCTAAATTTGACTTTGGCCTAAGCAATAGTGTAGCGTATGTGTAGATGATACCAGGAATTAACGTATTTCCACTTTGCCACCTCCCGTGTTTAGTCAGAATTTGAAAGGGGGAAATGATGAAACACCCACAAAGCCAAAAGCTTATACAGATTCCATGAAACTTTGGATCTAAGGGTACTTATTTTCCAGGGAAGTCATGTAAATGATAATCTCTTTCAGAAAAGACTAAGTTATATGGAAAAAATTAATTATAGGTTATACATAAACCAAAAAAATTTTTTTTAATTTTAAGGAAAAATATAAAATGGTATTTCTCAAATTAAGAACAAAAACCAAAGTACTTTGTTTTAAAAAATCAGGAAGTAATGCTAATATTTTATTATATTGTCAGTTAGGATCAAAAAAGAAAAAAGGCAGAAGGTGAAAAGTGGAAGAGAAAAAAGAAAAATGTGGAGGTAAAGGGAAAAAAAACAACAACATTTAAAGTAAAAAGATTCAAAGGCGACAGAAGCAGGGAAAGAAAGATCAAAAGGGGCTCCCTGGTGGACGCTGAGATGACACGGCTTGTTCTTGTCATATTTAACATTCAATTGAGCAATGGATACCCAAGAAATTTTCATCTGTTTTTAAAGCTCTCTGAAATTTAAATTAGCAGTGCCGAAGTAGTCCTGCTTTTATTTTTAAATGTTACAGTTTGTTTTTGAAAACAGCTCACCTACTTTTTACTTTCAAATGTTAAAGTTGATTTCTAAATTAATTTATTGTACTATTGAATTCTGTAGGTTTTACATAAATGGAAAAATTATTTGGGCTTTAGAAATCCACTTTGACACAGTTTGAGATTTATGTCACGAAATCTCACAAATTATTATCAAAATAAGTTTTTTGCCTCAACTAACTTTGATATTTAAGGGATTCAATGATTTCATTGATAAATCTCTTCACAAATAAATGGAATTAACCAATATTCAAAGTACTTCCAGTATTTTTATCAAATCTTCTAAGTGTAATAGTCGTAAGAGCCCCAAGCCTAGTCTGTCATTTTAAGGTAGTCACCCTACTAGCTAAGTGTTTAGATAATTTAGGAGCTACATTTGCATAAACTTTCTGGCCTCAATTTCTTCATTTGGAGGAAGCGTAACTAAATCTTTAGGGTCTCTTCCCACCCTCAACTCTGTGTGTGTGTGTACATAATTCAGTTTAATTCAGATTTCATTATTTGTACTTATTATCAAATGACAGAATGTATTTTATTTTGGGGATTTTTTTAAGACTTTAAATGCTTGTTCAGCATCATAAAATATTTACTAAAATATTTTTAGTAAAAATATTTACTAAAATAGTAAAATATTTACTAAAACGTTATCTACACACTGCACTTGTTTTAGTAAACTTTGGAAGCGTGACTAAGATGGCATTGTTTTTTGTTTGATTTTTTTAGATTGTGCTCTTCAAGTTGAAATAAATATAAATTATTAAATGTTTTAAACCAAATGAGCTCAGAGCCAGTTTTCCGTGATTTAATAAGTGGCTTTCCTCTATGGATATGACCAAGAATATGTCTAAGAACTGTTGACCGATGGTGGAGGCATAGCCACACATCCCCCAGTGAAGCCCCGTTGTGTTCATAATGAACCATGGGCGACGTAGGTGGTAGGAAGAACCAGGAAAGTGATAGTGAAGAAGTTGTTAAACCATTTTTAAAAAGAATTGGGTAATTTGGTTGGGCCCTTCAAAACAAAGATATAGGTTACATGAAATCCTCTGACATAGGGTGACCTTGAGAACTATTAAGACATTTGGTAGCAGATCTGCAGGGGTAATATATCAGTCTATTGAAGAGTTCCTTCTTTAGTGTTAGCTGACAAATGAACACGTCTGCCCTTCTGCCTTATGCCTAGAATTGAACTCATTTGGCAAGGCAAGCAATTTTATCCCGATACATGGTTCTTACAAAAAAAGAATAAATACTTTTCATATATTTAAAAAGAAATGAGAAACTAATCACAGGATCCAAATATTGTAGGCTATTCACTAGTGTAAATAATAATTACTACCATTTATTAAAAGCCTACCACACTGTAGGCACTCTGCTAGATTTTGCAACAGACGTTATGGCAGGTAAAATGAGGCGGCAGTGATGAATCCTGTAGTTCCTGCAGTTGTCCACTTTATTGACACTTCTGTCCTTCTGCTAAATCATTTCCTTATGTCTTTAACCTTTCTCAGGGTGGAGATCAGCATCAGCATGTGAAGAGCTTTGAGTTCTGTCAGCTGCAGGATCACCCAGACAGACTGAAATCAAAAAGACTGAGCCTGAAAATGATTAGAAAGGGACTGGGTATGAGGTGGGGAGTAAAAAGAATCTTAGCTAGAAGTGATTAGAAGAGACAGGAGGAGAAACAATCATTTTGAAAGGATGTCGCTGGTATGTGAGAGTCAAGGAGTAAAACAATCAGCCAACTGAGTCAATCCCAAACCAGTTCCTCCTGTCTGTTTAACTTGTATTTTGTCTTTTTTTTTTTTTCTTTTTCCTTTTTCCCCCCCACTCTTTTAACAGAATTGATAAAAAAATGTCTGGAGGCCAGAGTGGCTATGAACTTAGTGAAGCCAAAGCCATTCTAACCGAACTGAAATCTATCAGAAAGGCTATCAGCTCAGGAGAAAAAGAAAAACAAGATCTGATGCAGGTATGTGATGGAACATTTTGTTAAGTCAAACTACTACTGGGGCCCAGAAGCTCTCCTTGAAGGAGACGTTCTCCATTGGAGTCTAGATGGCCTTTTATCATACCCACTCCATTCATACAGAATGGTACTGTAGGAGGTTGTTATAGGCATTAAGGCTGCCTTGGAAGAAAACAGATTGGTTCCAAGGTTCTGATACGCTCATTTGAAGACAGGCTTTGGATGGCCTTTGAGACAGTGGGTAGTAGGTCCTGGAGCCCATATAAGGAGAATGGCATCCTTGTGTACCTGCAACTCACTGGAAACTTCATGCGGAACCCTGGTAAGTAGGGTTACCCAAACCAGTGATCCTCAGCCCAGGATACATAAAGGGCATGTTACTTGTCATCAGTAAGTAGAAGATATGCCTGGTTGGAAGGAGGATTTTATGTAAGGATCATAGAAAAGCTTCTCCCACCCCAGCTGATTCTGAGGTCCTAGCTAGGGGTGGGGTGAGGACTGCTGACCCAGGAGGGGGATATCTGTATATTCACCTTAGGAGATCTGCTAATGGCAGTAGATCCCCTGGGTACACCTGTATAGTTCTCACTGTACAGGTCTTAATTCCTAACGACTCAACCTCATGTGTAGAAAAAAAGACAAAACAACCATTCAATGATCAGTGTTCTACATTCCGAATATCTATTTAGCAGATAAAGTCAAGTGTGTGTTGCTGTTTTTTTAAGAGTGTATATCTTCCTCCTCTTTCCTTATCACAAGCTCAGAATTCTTTATATTTCAGATATTGGAATTCTTTACCTAGCTGAGTAAAGATTTAGTCTGTATCTTTGGGAAAATGTTGGAGCCAATGGTGATGTTTGCATTCTTAGTAGAACCTCTACGTTTAAAAACTGTATTTGATTACTTCATGTCAGTTTTCAAAATGCTAGTTGAATTAGGTAAATATTCTCAAACCTATATAATTTTGCATTTTGGGAATTTCGCAAGAAGAGATCAAATAGAAAAAACAACAGTAGTAATAGTAAGTACTTGTATATACTGACTTTTGCCAGGCAATCTTCTGCTTGCCTTCCCTAGAAATAATTCATTTAATTCTCACAACGACTTTAAAGATAGGCACTGTGATTATCCTCAATTTACAGACAAGGAAGTTACAGCATAGAAAAGTTAAGTAACTTACTTAAAGTCACACAGCTAGTAAGTGTCAGGACTTGGGTTCAAACCCAGGTAGAGTTCCTCCAGGCTATATGGTTTTACATAAACATAACACACACAAGACTTTACTTGGATGTTCCTTTTTGTTCTGCAGTGATCCTGCTAATTAAATCACTAATTCTTGAAATGCACATAATAGGTCCTTTGAAAAATGTTAATAGAACTCGAGCAAATTTACATTGTAATCTTATAATTCAGCAATTTGGTCATTTTTGATTCTTCATGTAAACTTTGGATTTATACAGAGCCAGACTGAATTAAAAGATTAAATTTCTTTTCAGTTACTAATGTATATAAAATAATTAATCAGTAGATAACACAAATCAACAATAGAGCTGAAAGGGGCATTAGACGTCTCCTGTGACTTTTAAACTTCTTTGACCATGACACACAGTAAGAAATATATTGTACATCAAAACCCAGTACCACACAAATATCTTTACTTATAGATATATACAAAACAAATTTCACAGAAATATGTCTGCTCTTAATACTAGCAGTGTACTCTGATTTTATTTTCTAGTCCCTTCTATTTCATTAAAAAGCATAATGATCATGACCTAAATTAATTGAGTGCATCGTCATCACAGGTGGATTTGAAAAATACTGATAATAATACAGATGGAAAAATAGAAAAGACTTGCTCAAAATCACTAAAAGATCTGTTTGTTCTTTTCTGTGACATATTATTTGGTGTGATCATTTAAGTTTTATCCCTCTTGCACATACATTTTGCTTAAATATCCCTTTGAAAGAAATATAGAAGGTTAGGTAAAAAAAAATATATATAGTGGATTTGAAAAATACTGATAATAATACAGATGGAAAAATAGAAAAGACTTGCTCAAAATCACTAAAAGATCTGTTTGTTCTTTTCTGTGACATATTATTTGGTGTGATCATTTAAGTTTTATCCCTCTTGCACATACATTTTGCTTAAATATCCCTTTGAAAGAAATATAGAAGGTTAGGTAAAAAAAAATATATATATATAGTAGGCTTAGGCCTGGTTAGTACTTGGATGAGAGACCACCTAGGAAGACCAGGTGCTGTAGGCATAAAAAAATAAAAAATAAGGGATTGTAAACTGACAAGATCCTTGCAATCTGAGAGGTTAACCAAGGGTTAACTCACCTAAAAAAAAAAAATGTACACACACACACACACACACACGTGTGTGTGTGTGTGTGTGTGTGTGTGTGTGTATCAGATCTCTGATAGTTCTAATTCCTTATCATGAGAATTTTAAATATCAGGATTAAATTCTTGTTCTTAAAGTTGATAATATATTTCTTACCATTTTTATCAGTGTTTTATAAGTTTTTTTGGTAGCAATTTAGATAATTTTTTTTTCTTTTTCATACTTTCATTTGCTCACATCCTTCCTCTCAAGTAAGCTTACCTGGTGCGGACAGCAGGCATGTTGTTCACTTTTGATTATTCACTTTACCACACCAAATGTGTCACTGTCACTGTAGACAGCGCCTTGCAGTTGACATATAGACAGGCTCTGATCCGCTGCAAGTACTGTGACTTCTGGGCCTCAGTTTCCTTATCACCGACATCAATGTGAGCTAAATAATCTCTCAGGTCCCGTGCAGATGTAAAATGGCATAATGGCAAAGGTCTTCTAAGAAGTCGTCTTGCTATTTCTAAAATGAGATTGTATTATAGGTGTTCCATGCCTTCATAATTTTTACTGCATAAAGTGAGTAGTTCTTATTAAAATAGAGACTTCTTTTTAATGAAATTTTAAAAATAAGGAATACACGTATTAAATATAAAGAGCATTATTCACAGGGTGAATAATTCCCAGGCTATCTTGGGAAAATTAAGATAACCTATTTAATATGCTCTCACATACTTTCAAAGTCACGTGCGTATGTGCAAAATTATACTCTACCGTTATTTTTTCAGTAATTTAAAGCACTAAGTACCTACTAAATTAAAGTCTTTGTTTTTCTAAAGAGATTAGCTCCTTCAACTTAATTTACCTGGTAGGGAAGTTTTGCCCTCTTAAATGTTAAGCTTTATGAAGTACTTTGTATTTCCTGAACAGAGTCTTGCTAAGCTGCAGGAGCGGTTTCATTTGGATCAGAGCATTGGCAGATCTGAGCCAGACTTGAGATCCAGTCCTGTGAACTCTCATTTCTCTCTCTCCAGACAGACCCTTGATGCGGGGTCACAAACAAGCATTTCCGGAGATGTAAGTTACCAATGTGGGAGGGCCAGCCCCAGCACCATCCTTGATGGGCCTTAATTACAATAAGAATGTGTGTTCTCCCGTTTGGGGCCATTAGCAGGGTTCCCAGTTGTTTTTGTATCCTATCAGGCTTCTTTGAGTTATGTGCTATGAAAGTAAAATAGGTAGAGATCAACAGTAGGGCTTGCCTATTGGAAAAATTCATTTCTGAAGTTATTCGGTTTACATTTTATGCAGTTGAAAGCTGAATGATGGAAATTTTGGCTCATAAAGACGAGGAAATTAGTTCTAGTTCATAAATTTTATTGACCTGTATACCCTTCATAAATTCTTAGATACCAGAAATATTTACGTGATATTTTTTGTCTTGAATTTAATGTGTGGAGGAAATGATGTTAATGTCTTTGAAAGACAGACAAGCTTGAATTAAAGAGAAACGTTGTGCCCCTACTGGGACTTTAAAGTAAGTGCCTTTTTAAACTGGTGTTCTCAATTTCAGTACCATCTTCTTTAGTTTTTCAATTACTTGTACTTCTCAGAAACAAAAGCAGTTTACCTTCATTCATTAGCAGAGTTAATTGACTTTTTTCCTTTTTTTTCCTAGATCGGAGTGAGAAGTAGATCAAATTTAGCTGAAAAGGTCAGGCTGAGCCTACAGTATGAAGAAGCCAAAAGAAGGTAACAACAGTAGGACAACTGTTTGGTTCAGTGGTCCAGGGGCTCCGACAGTATTTTCTTTTCCAGAATTAATCTTTACTCCTAGAGTGCCATCTGCTGGGCGCACCCACACGTGCTCTGACTGAGATTACCCTCGGCGTTTTAGAATGTTGGGGTTGCAGAGTCCCTTCTCTGCTCGCTCTCTCTTCCTTTCCCCTGCCCCCAAAGGAAGAACAAGAATTAGTAAGAAGTGTGGGGATGAAATTGTCTCCTTCTCTTCTGGAAGAAAGAAGCATTGAGCTGGTACAATACGTAACAATTAAAAGTGCGATGATACAAACATGATACAGTGGCTGAGGTATAGGACTTGATAACAGTTGATGAGTTCTAAGATAAATAGCTTTAAGCATGTTTCTTCGCTTTGAAAGGAAGAAAGACCTCCTGCTAATATCTTTGAAGATGCTGAGGTGTCTGTTCCCGTGACTTCCGGGAGAAGGAAGAGAGATGCTTATTTCTCTCCTTTTCCTTATCAACTCCTATTAAACCCTCTACTCTCTTTTTCTTACCTTGTGACTCTGCATGGGTAAGGCATAAGAGACTTCACCGTTCTTACCTAGTAAGCAGACCCAACTTGTTTTCATAATATAGGACACCTTGCTTATTTTGAGGGAGAGAGCCCTACTGATACATTTGATATCATTTCCCTTTTAAGAGTTTAAAAATGCTATTGATAGATAAGTTAGGAAGACACTGGGGAAAAAACTGCATTATCACCTTGCAAGTGACAGAGAAATTTATCACGATTCTCCTTTATGAGCATGAAAAGCTCAACTGAGAACCTACTAGAGGTTCCCACCATCAGGAAGACCATCAGATGGGTGTTGAGGTACATCTATTGTTACTGGCGATGATGATATTTATAAGTAATTGGCCAAAGTTCTTAGAGGTTATCTGGCTTTAACAAAGTAATTATTTGATCTGCCTAAATATAATATTTGCCTCCGTGTAGCCTGTTACTAATATTACTTAGTTCTTCGATTTATTGAAAGAACCTTAAGCTTCGTTCCACAAATTATTAACCATGGGAGCTTGAGCAAGTCACTTGGCCTCTCTGAACAACATTTCACTTGGCTAGTTTTCATGCTTATAAATTTTTCCAGGCAGATTATAAATTTCTTGTGGTTAGGAAGAATTTTGTATACTTTATTGCCTGTTTCTCCCTGCCCAGGGTAGCACCTTGCCTTCACTAAAGATTGAGGGTTGCTTTGTGGTTTCGTGAACCAGTGGTATGGAAGCTGCTGGTGGAGGCAGCTTGCAGCCCTTCGGCTGTGAGCAAGCCGGTTCTTTAGTTGTCAGAACTCCTGGGTTCTCCTGTAAACAAAGCCCAGGATTTGTGCCTCGTTTTCTGAAGGAGAAAGGCCATAACTTAGCATTAACCCTGAGAGCCAGGCCTCATGCCTTGGGTTCTTTGGGACTTGACTCAACTTCCCTTGGATCAACTTGAGCTTTTGCTTTACTTGGACTCCTAATGGTTCGTTCCATCTGGAACTCGCACAGCACTTCTTGTCACAGGTGTTCCCCCAAATCTTCCTCTTTTGTTCCCCAGATTTGGTGTACTCTTTCCATATAAAATTCAAGACCTACATAATGCCTGATCACACAAGCCATTGGTGACTTTCTTTCCTTCTTTCCATTGTTGCTACCATTTCAATTGGTTAACTCAGTTGCATCAAAACTTAAGATGCTGGTTCTTTCCCATTGGGTTGCATTGCTATTTATTACCTAATTTGGGGTTTTATTTTAAAGTAACTAGTGATGCCGTCAAGAAGGTAACTCTCAAGGGTTTATGTATATGTAGGAAATGCTTTTTCTTCCTAAATTCTGAATAAGTAAAGAGGCGGGCTGTGTTTCTCTGAAACCTGTTTTCTCCTCCAGCCTTTGTTTTATGTGCTTAATGAAGCTAATAATACCATGCTTATTTAGCATTTTGATGATTAATTTTCCAGTATGTTGAGACAGTTGTTTATGGTTTTGTGGTTAAAGCTGAAGAATAGCTGATGTTAGATCTATCATAAATGCAGACGGTGGGTGAAAATCGGAAGTACATTATATATGCAGTGCCAATTTAAGATGGCAATTTTATTTTTAACTAAAACAAGGAACTTATGGCACAAGAATGTGAACTACTTCCATCTTTGTCCCGAACATTTTTGCTCAGCTTTTATCTTCCTTTCTACAACTTCGTCCATCAAAAAGGAAAAACAAAATTCCCCTTTCTGCTTGTTTTTTATATTCTGGTGTGTACTGTAACAACATATAAAGTAATCATCCAGCTTTTTGTTTTTAAATAAGAATATGGCTTCTTTGTGCTAATATCAGTTGTATTCATAGTGTATCTTGATCTTGTGCTTATGGACAAAACAGCCAAGTGCCATTTACCTTATGAATAATCCATATTGTCCTCACAGTGACAGAGAGCAAGTTATTTGAGTCAGGTGATGAGACATTCTTATTGAATCGGGATTAACTTGACCATTTAATAAAATGCTCTAGAAAGAGTGAAATCCGGGCTCAGGCAAAATGATGAAACTAGTGAAGTTTCCCTTTGCTGCTTTTTCTTCTTCTTCCTCCCATCCCCATCCCCATTCCCACACTTCAGCACCTCCCGTCACTCTGGTGTTGCCTGTGCTGCAAGAGATCCAGCAGGTGCTGTCTGCTCCTTTGCAGCCAAATGACTATCTACAGAGGAAAGCCAGGTCAAATGCAATGATGTCTACAGTACCAGCTCAATAAATGTAGACACCAATCAACACCGTGATAGGAAAGAGATTTCACAGTGCACAGCTTAAGGAGAATGCTGGTGGAGGAAGCCAAGCCTTGCCCCCTTTTCTTGATGGATTGACTGTTTTAATACTGGTTGGCCAATCTGCTGCTCTCTTCTTCCCCTCTTCCCCCCTTGATTAGCTAATATCCTAGTTGCTGCCCAATCTACCCTGGGGACAACCATTTTGATAGGGGACAGCATCTTTTTCTATAGGAACAAAAATCTATAATGCATTTCAGGCATCGTTTACCGCAGGGTGTTTTTGTTTGTTTGTTTTTGTTTTTATGGAAGCCCTCCAGATATCCCCCTGTCACTCCACATAGTAGTCATCACACATCAGGACTGACCTGCCCAGGGTTCCCGGAGCTCTCCACTTTTTTAAGCTTCTGTGTGCTTCGACCTTCACCTTTTTTCAGATAGGTGGCTGTGCTTACTCATATTTTCAAGGTGGGAAAATGAAGCAGATGACAACTAAGTATAGAGCCCAGAGATTGGGATATAGGCTGTTGCATTTACTCATACCAGGCGATCACACCCCTCTCTGGTAAATTTCTGAGGAAATTTAACATTTAAACCCCAAATTTAGCCTGGTTTGTGTTTTCCCTTTCTTGGGAGTCCTAAGTATGTGCACGCCTCTTTTATCTCTTTATTTCAGCATGGCCAACTTAAAAATCGAATTGTCAAAATTGGACAGTGAGGCCTGGCCTGGGGCACTGGATATTGAGAAGGAGAAGCTGATGCTGATTCATGAAAAAGAAGAACTTTTGAAAGAGCTTCAGTTCGTCACTCCACAAAAGCGCACTCGCGATGAATTGGAGCGCCTGGAAGCCGAACGCCAGCGACTGGAGGAGGAGCTGCTGTCAGTGAGGGGTGCGCCCAGCCAAGCTTTGGCTGAGAGGTTGGTTTTCTTCCCTGGGGACAGGAGAGGCGAAACCTGTGAGTGTGGCTTAGCTGTGCCTGGGTGCCATTTCCCTGGTCTGCGTCTGTCTTTAGTGAACTGAGAACCAGAGCTAAGGACTTTCCATAGAGCAACAAGGCACACCCCCTACTGCCCCTCAGCGTCAGCCCTTCTATGTTTGTTAGAACGTAAAAATGCCTGTGACAGGTGCTGAATAACTAAGGAATCCTGACATAAAACCAGGAATGCAGTACATCATTGACCAAGTCTGATAACAATAGCTGTAAACTATTGCGTTCTGATAAGAAAGATTATCTGGACTATTACTGCAACTGAAGCTTCCTATTCTGAGTTTTATTACTCACAAGAATGCAAAAATTTATTGCTTTTCATTTCACCAGGAAAGGACAGCTTGCTTTCTTTGACATCTTAACAGGTCACAGAATGTTCACTTGGATTGTGTTTGTCCTTTGAAACCCTCCTCTGAAGTAGGTAAAAGGTAAAGGGAAACACTTTAAGCAATTTTCTGATCTCTATAGGAACGTGTAAAATGATCACTTAATCTAAAATATCCAGTTCTGTAATCAGATCAACTCTACTCTGTAGTATGTGAATCTGGGAAGGGCCTGTAAACAGCTCTTAGATGTGTTCTGGAGAGAGAGAAAATGGCATTTGTTTGTTTGCTTTAATCAGCTTTTATAGGTATGATGTCTTGTTTGTCTTTTTTATTAGAGCTAGAGCTTCAGGAATGACTAGTAATGTAATGTTAAAAGTAGAGTTTGTTTCTGAGTGCCTAGACATTGTCTTTTAAACTTTTGTTTGCACACATATAATAACCGTCAAAAACTCACATGAATTTTCTGACACTACGTGTGATCCTACGTCCTATGTGTGACCTGTGCCTGCCAGCGCTAACTCCCAGACAGCAGTGACTGAGCTCGCCACCTAGTGGTGATAAAGGACATCAGAAAGAGAGGTCTCATTGTGAGGGATCATCAGCAAAGAGAAATTGCTTTCAAATGAGAAAAAGTCATGCAATATAGGACTTTTTAAACATCTTTCATATTCTTTCCATACACTTAATGAGATTCCTTAAACACTAGGCTTTTCTCTAGCTGATAAGATCTTAATATTGCTCCCTACTTTCTCACTAATCTTAGAAGTATTGTCTTCCATCTTGCAAAAATGTCTTAATAATTTCTTAATTATAATGGAGCTGAAAAATTTATATCACCTAGTGACATCGTGGCCATTGTAAGGTTGTAGTACAATGCATTACTCATGTGTTTGTGGTGATACTGGTATAAACAAACCTACTACACTGCCAGTCATGTAAAAAAGTATATAGCACATACAATTATGACAGTACATAATACTTGATAATGACAATAAATAACTATGTTACTGGTTTACGTATTTACTACTATACTTTTTATCGTTATTTTTGAGTGTGCTCTAGAAAAAGTACTTTTGAAAAGCTCGTCGTAAAGAGCAATAAAAAAAGAAGCAATTAAAAAAATGATACATCATGTGCCATCGGTAGGTAGCCTCACACATCTCGTGTTCACTGCATCTCTTGATTGAATTACTTTCTCTTGTTCTTGATTTGATCTTGTGTTGTTTTGTACAGTCACATGACGTACAGGCCTGTAGCCTAAGAGCAATAGTACACCATGTAGCCAAGATGTGTGCTAGGCTGTGCCAGCCAGCTTTGTGTAAGCGCACTCAGTGATGTTTGCACGATGATGAAATCGCTTACCAACACATTTTTCAGAACACATCCTCATCGTTAAGTGGCTCATGATTGTATATGAATGTTTTTGCCACTGATTCTGGGGAAAATTTTAAAGCTGGTAGACGGGGGTCTAAATGTCATTTATTTTTTTAATGGAAAAGGAACTTACTGTTTCTATAGATGCTATGAAATTTTCCCTAGGTGGAAATTTCTGGGTAGTCTGAATCAGGAGAGATCAGGCAGGTGCTTCTCCCCATTGGGGCACCCAGGACGAGCAGGGCCAGGCTAAGGCCCCGCACCCTTCTTGCAGAGGTAGCCACATGGGTGGTGCGGAGCAGCAGGACCAGCAGGCAGAATCTTTTAGGGAACTGGTTGAAAAGATCCCTTCTCACCCAGGAGGACAGAGACCGGAGAAGGGCTTAGAGGGACAGATATGCAGTTTCTTCTAATTCCTGGTCTGGAGGAAGCTGGGGAGGGGCACTGACTCTTCACGCAGCCTGGGTAGAAGAGGGAGAAAGAGCCGATGCCTGCCTTCCAGGAGGCTGGGATCTGACTGGGGAACATGTGAACAAGAACACGAAAGCCCAGCCTCAGAAGTTCACAGTGACCATGTCAGCGCCTGAGCCATCACCTAGAAGAAGGCAGAGTGGGGATCATCGCTTGTGACTGGGACGGGAAAAGCTTTGGATTTTAAATTTCAGTGTGAAACATTAATGTCATACTGAGGTCTCTTTAACACACCAGAAAAGCCTTCATTTGCACAATAAATATGCAGTTTTAAATTTTACTTTGAAAGTGTTTTTCCTGTTTCAGAAGACGTGGATTTTAATAGATTTGGGGCTTTCTCCAGAACTTTATGTACCTTCTAATTCAGTTAATGTATTTTGTATTAATATTTTTCCCTGTTGAGTTTGTATTTATATTTAAGAGATTTAAAAAGTAAGGACTGGACTCCTTTTCAAAATACACCTTTGAAAGCTGTGAATTAAGAATTTATCACCCTTTGAAGTATTAAACAAAATGACAAGAATTACCTTTTTATTTTAACATAAAATGAAATTGTATTGGTGACACATCAAAGGATAGATGCCTATAAATAAAATATGGGCATGTTTTCTTAGTGACTAAAACATACATAACATTTCAAAGAAGTTGAAAATCAAGGAAATTTTATTTTTTTCCAAAGAAGAGTAGCTAATTTTTATATCACCACCTTGCAGGGCATGAGGAGGCTTAGAACAAGGAAGATTTGTTTTGATGTCTACAGAGCAGTTCCACAGACACATTCTTCATTTGATCCCTTTAACAGACTTGGCAGGTAGACACAGTAGGATTATAATCACCATTTTACAGATAAGAAAGCTGAGACCTGGGTTAAGTGACTTTCCTAAGCACACACGACCAATATGGCAAATCCAAGCCTACAAACCGTGCTGGTTTTCTGGGTCCCATCCTGCTGCTCATTGAACACTCGGAGCGGGCTGTTTCCATGATGTCTAAAGTCCCTGAGACGACCCTCAGGCAGGCTTCTAGTTGCATAAACCTCTGGGTGCTTAATATATTTTAAAATGACTTATTCAAGTACACAATTCCATAATACTTTAATTTTTTAAAAACCTTAAACACTAGTGCGGTTGAATTCAAGTGAATGAAATTTCGTGATAACCTGGTATAGGTGATGAGACGTGCTATAGATAGCAAAGGAAATCATTTTTTGTCTTTCTTGCTTAAACGGTTTGGAATAATTTGTGTCTTAATTGCTAAAATTCTCATCAAATTTAACATTGGAATTTTTATCACTAGGTACTATTTTAGAACAGCCCCTACCAAATTTAATACCTAGGATGATCTTTTATAATTCTGTGTTATTGCTATTAAATATTTTAGTAATGTAAGCCCAGTCGCAGGCCTGTAGAATTCTGTAACCTTTGTTCTTTGTTTTACTTCTTCACTGTCTTTCCTTATCTCAAAATCATGAGGTTCTTTTACTCATTTAAGAAAGTGTTGGAATACCAAATTTAAAAAATTCTCAGTTACATTGAGATTTGGTATAGATCCCCCTTCAGTAGTAGGCTTGGCTGTGTACGCTTCTGCTGACTTTGCTTCTTGCTGGAAGTTCTGTCTGCTTTCTGTCGAAATTTGGGTTTCTCCTTTTTGTGGTATGTAGTATCTGTAGAATAAGAATCTTGCTTTTCTTTTCCTTAAGTTTTCATAGTTTATTGTAATCGTTTAATATATAAATTCATTTCTGTGGGTTTTTTTCCTAGATTGAAATTGGAAGAACGAAGAAAAGAGCTACTACAGAAACTTGAAGAAACTACTAAGTTAACGACTTACCTGCATTCACAACTAAAAAGGTAAACCTATTTGGTTCCCGAAGGGAAATTTTTTCTTGACTACCTTCAGGCTTGTTTTTGTTCATCTCTGATTACTTTTCTCTTTACGTTCAACTATTTAAAAGAAAAGAACATAATTATACCAGTACAATTAAAACTTGGATGACCAAACTTTAAGTTGCATAGATTTTTTTTTTTTTCATGAACCCGAAGGTCATATTTGGAATATATTTGGAATTTGTTGTGGGAAGAAGGTATATTTTAGCTTCAGTACATACTTAGGAAAATGACCCAATTTCTCGACAGTATCCCTCCTTTTAAAGGAAGGTGAGGGAGATTTAGCCACATATTCACTATTTAAATACACACTCACTGATGGGTAAGCCCCAGGGCCTTTGCATCACTCTTTTTCTTTATAAGCTTGCCTTTTTCTCTCTCAAACTAAAAAGTTTTATCCGTTAAACAAAGTAACTGCACTAACACGTTGTACTGTCTACCCTCCTCCTTCCACATTTTTAAATTATATGCTTGCTTATGAGTGCGCAGCTGGATTTATCAATAGGTATTTGATCCCCCCCTTCTTTTGTAACTCTTTTTTAGTAAGAGTAGGATTGCTGCTTGATGAGTATTTAGAGAGCCAGGTTGAAAATGTTCATTAAAAAACCTGGAAATATGTGTATAATAGCAGTTTTTTTCCCTGTCATCGAATATGTTCTTAGGCCTCACTGGGTTCCTTTCCTCTGGGGTCTGATAAGCCAGCAGGATTTGTGCTCGGGGCGGTTTCCATATCATACCCGTTTTTACAATGTGTGTTTTTCTTCTCTCAGCCTCTCGGCCAGCACCCTGTCCATGTCATCTGGTAGCAGCCTGGGTTCCCTAGCCTCCAGTCGAGGGTCTCTGAACACTTCCAGCAGAGGGTCACTCAATTCCCTCAGTTCCAGCGAGCTCTATTACACCAGTCAGGGCGACCAGATAGACGCGGATTATCAGTATAAACTGGACTTCCTTCTGCAAGAAAAGGGTGGTTACATTCCTTCCGGACCCATCACCACCATCCATGAAAACGAAGTGGTCAAGTCCCCCAGCCAACCAGGCCAGAGTGGGCCCTGCGGGGCGGCAGCCGCAGCGGCAGGCCACACTCCCCCACTGACCGAGGCCCCCAAGTCTGTGACGTCCCTGTCCTCAAGGTCCTCCCTTTCCTCCCTGTCCCCTCCTGGCTCTCCCTTGGTTTTAGAAGGCACGTTTCCCATGTCTTCTCACGACGTCCCTCTCCATCAGTTCACTGCTGACTTTGAAGACTGTGAATTGAGTAGCCATTTTGCAGACATTGGCCTCGGTGAAAATCAGATATTGCTGGATCCTGACTCCGGAGGCGCGTCCCAGTCTCTTTTAGAGGATAAAGACCTCCACGAGTGTGCTAGGGAGCCATTCTACGAAGGAACTGCAGGTAAGTGGGGACCTTGGGGCTTTCATGTGTTCCCTCTTAGTTATTTTAAGGGGAACGATTGGAGGGTTATTCTTTCCATATAAACAAATGGCACTAGTCTCCCTTCTTTTTCTGCTGCTCTTTTTTTCATTTTGGTTTCGTTTGAGGAGTTTTTAGTTGAAATACCTGGACGTTTTTTCTTTATCAAATAAAAATTACTTTCCCTATGTAGTAATTTAACCATTAGGTATCTGTTCTGTTGTTCAGACACCCTCTGGGTACGGCAGCTGTCTGGGAACATGCTTTGCGAACACACTTCATACTTCTCAACAGATTCTGATTCAGAAAGAACAAGGCAAAGAAGAGGGCATTTTTAAAAAAGTTGGCCTAAAAGCAAAGCAATTAGCATACTAGCTAATTAGTACCAGGGTTCAATGTTTAGGTTGTTCAGGGAATTCTATATAAATACAATTTTTGTTTCCGCGCCGGACTCTCCCTTTCTGCCTAGAGGTGGTTTGGAGAGAGCCGGTTCCGCTGCATAGTGTCACCCCGCCCTCTTCTGGCCACAGCACCAGTTGCAGCCCAGGAAAACGCAGCAGGCTGAGCTCTGACTCCTGCATTTACACTCATAGATTCAGAAACAGAGGGAGAATTTTATTTTCTTTTTTTGTAATTGTTTGGCTTGGTGAAGCAGAAGCTATTCATATATTAGATGTGATTGTTAAGAGGACAGCATGGTACCCGTGTTGGCAAATGATCACAGGTGTGGTCGGCGGAGAGTGGTCCTGTTAGAAAGGGAGCCTGGAACTAAATATGAAATAACAGCTCCAGTGCCGGCCCCTGGGGGACCCAGATCTGCATGTGTTACTGTGTGTCCACAGCACAGAAGAGGACAGGCCTCTCAAGAAGTATTTTCTTGCTGTTTCCAGAAGCATATTTATTTTGTATTTACGGTCCTAGGAATTCTGAGTATCACTCAGTTGGGCAGTTCAGCTGTTTAAACAGATTAAAGAATCCACCTTGTTTCTATGATTTCAAATACTGAAGACTGAGACTCTGCCTGCCAGTGGCCTGGGGCAGAGATAGGGCACAGGAGACATCTATGGTTTATGTTCCGCTGCCTGGCCGGTGCCAAAGCTACAAGTAACGTGTTACTGAAATAATAACCAACTACAAAGAAAATAAGCACAGGAGTGGTGCTTACATAATGATTCCAAGAAAGCAAAGCAGAAAGCCCCTGTCGGGCCTCCATCCACCTCCAGAGGGCGTGCAGTGTGCGGTATGGTGCCCTCAACCCCTGGAGCCAGCTACGCCTGCACTCACATTTTGGTTACCCCATTGACTAGCTGTGGTCTGGTGAGCACATTATCCATTCTTTCCAGCTTGTTGTCTGTCATCTGCAAAGCGGGAATGATACAGTATCTATCTCATAGCATCCTGGGAGGATTAATGCCATAATCCATCTAAAGCATCTATTGGTGCCTGGTGCCCGGCACTCAGTTTGTGGTAATTATTATTACATGTGATGATAAGTAATACGCGCTCTGCTAAACACAGTTTCTACCACAAACCATTGAAATCTATGAAAGGTGGAAAGAACAGGAGAGAGAAGAAAGTTTTTTTGTGTTCTGTGCTTTAGACTTGAAGGGTCTTATATTTCTTGAACATTTCAAAGCTGCGTTTGCTCTGCATATATTTGGAGTGTTCTCTAGTGACAAATTCTCAACATTCAGTCAACTTGGAGGGGCCAGTAAATGAAGCCAGATGGAGGAGAGAGAACAGTGAGAACATCACCCAAGGTTCATCCCCACGTGGGGATCCCAAGGCCTGGAGTCCCTGTCCTGCCTGGTTGCTGACCCTTGGGTCTGCTCCTCTGTCTGTGAGAAGCTTGTGCCTAGCGATCGGTGTCTCTGAAGCTTCCATGAAACATATAATTATATATATTAATTGCACAAAACAAATTATATAATATGCATTTTAAAAGTTAAAAAAGTCACCCAAAGAGACAATATATCCGAGAGCTTTGTTTGCAAATAATATTCGGTTTCATAAGTGAAAACAACTGAAAGCATATATTTCACCGTAAAGACTAATTCTCTTCAGGTCAGGTCACCAAGGCTTGGTTTATTCAGGGGATGTCTGCCCTTCGTGTGGAGGCGGGTGGCTCATGGCCGTGACAGTGTTCATCTCCCTCAGTACTCTAGAGTTTTATGCAGGTAAAGCTGAGTTCCTTTTATAGGCATTTTGCTCTCCAGCACCAATCCCTGCTGGATGACAGAAACCAAGTTGGAATAACTACGAAGTCCTTCCACAGTCAGTCTCTGTCATTGTCAAAGTCAATTTCAGGCTGCTGTGGTTATTCCTGGGGGTAATCAATAAATCATGTCATCACCTTCACCCTTCACAAAGGGGGGTGGGCGGAGAGAAGGCACTTCATCATCAAGGAAAAAGCATTCCCACTGCCAGCAATCAATCCTGTAATCTGAAGCCTTAAAACTTAAACATCTTAACAAGATGTAAAGTCACGACTCAGAAGGGGGTGGAATGCATACAAATACTGATCCCTGCTCACAGGCTGGAGGATGAAAGAACTCCACAGGCTTGCAGCTTATTACGTAGGAACACAGCTCTAAATGAATGCTCCTTGCTCACTGCAGGATGCGAGTGTATGAATATACGTTAGAGATAAAAGTTAAGTGGTAGTTGGTGCTAAAGATTCAGTAGCACAAAGTTTTTTTTTAATGGTATTAGCTGGTGAGAAATTCTCTAAGTTAGAGACTTTTTTTTCTTTAACTTCTATTAGTGCAGCGGCCCAGAAGATGTGGACTGTGGCATGTGGAGAGCAAAAGATGCGGGGTCCTTTCTTGCCCTTGAGAAGCCAGATGCTCTCTATTCTAGAAATAGTTCTAGTCTACGGCCATGCCACCCTGAATGTGCCTGATCCCGTCTGATCTCAGAAGCTAAGCAGGGTCGGGCCTGGTTAGTACTTGGATGGGAGACCACTTAGGAAGACCAGGTGCTGTAGGCGTCAAATAAAATGAATGAATCAATCAATCAGTGAAATAGCTCTAATACTTAGGGAGGCAAACCGTTTCTTACCCCTGTGTGTGTGGTAACTGCAGTGAATACCTAAAAGAGAAAGGAGAGGGACCAATGAGAAAGTGTGTAATTCGTTCCTTCCCTTAAAAATATTTCCGGACAAAGAAAAACCATATTCTTCCTCAAATAATGACCAAAATAACTGGCACCCCAGGAATCTTATAAGTGTCAGTGCCTTGAATCCTCCACATCTGTTGATTTGAATGGTAACGTCATTGCTTCTCAGATGGGAATTATATTTTGGATTTCCCATAACCAAACTGTGTGTCTATTTCTATTTAACTTTTCCTAATAAGAAATCGTAATTAGTGCTGTCACTCTTCCCTCCTTAGATGTGGAAAAATCATTACCAAAAAGAAGAGTACTCCACTTGCTTGGGGAGAAAAGCTCTTGTGTGTCCGCTGCTGTATCTGACGAGTCTGTGGCTGGAGACAGTGGGGTCTACGAAGCCTTCGTGAAACAGTAAGGGCTCATTTCCACACGAGTGCTTTTCATTTACACCGAATCTCCCCGTAGCCGTGCCTGTGGGTTATAGATGGCAATGTGCTGCTGCCATCAGTCCACTCTCTGCAGTGCTCAGGGCTGAGGGCATTACAGAAAAGGTGCGCCTGAAAGTTTCAGTACACCAAGCACATGCCGTCAGCCAGGGACATGATAAACAGGTCAGGGTACTCAGAGACGCCTCACCCTCTTTGAGACTTAAAGCTTGATTTTAATGGGAATGTTGGAGTAAAGTTGTTGGCCACTGCCTACTTGGCACATGAAGCTTCTCGTGTATATTTCAGAAAGCCTGGAATGTGTCCAGGGTTGCGGTACACCCCAGGGAGGCTCAGGAAAGTTGGACATCAGAAAGCCTTCCCCCTAAAGTCTCAAAGGCAGACTCCTCTTGACAGGTGAAGAAAGATCTCAGAGTGAGCTTGCACTGGCATCAGTCCCACTGGGGTGGTATAGAAGTGCTGTTAATTCAGGTTTTCATTTGGAATCATTAAGTGGCAAACTGTCACCATAACCATGGATGTCCCATAAACCGTTCCATGCTCACTGTTTCCCGGTCCCCAGGCCTAGTGAAGTCGAAGATGTTACATACAGTGAAGAAGATGCTGCCATCGTGGAGACCGCCCAGGTGCAGATCGGACTCAGGTAAAGGAATGTGCATGAGGCAAGGGACGATTCTAGAATTCCACACAGCGACAAGTGCTCTTTCCTCGCTTCACCAGCTTCTCTTTTGACAGATGTGATGCAAAAAGGTCAAGTTTCATGGTGATTATAGCACAACTCCGAAATCTTCATGCCTTCCTGATACCTCATACTTCAAAAGTGTAAGTAAAATCAGTGAAAAACAATTTGAGGAGCTTAAAATTGTCCACATGTGATCATTTTACATTGCAATCAAGTGATCCATCCAAAGAAGATATGGACAGAGAAGAGCTGGTCATGTCTTAATCAACAGTAGATACAGACAGAGAGAAAAGGAGAATGTGAAAAAAAGCAGTTTGGGTTTGATTCTTTCTCAACCGATTCATTATTAGGAATAGGAATCAAGCCTTTTTATCTCCCTTTTCATCCAGAAATTCTGTATTATGCTGGGTTGAGTCCTGATTTTTTGAAATAGAATTAAAATTTTTGTTATTGCCTAATTGTGACCACTGTTGGTTTGGAGGAATTTTCTGATCTTTTACATGAAATCGTACTGATTAAGTTTTATTTATCAGCATAACATTGCCAAACATCATATCTTACTACTTGTAGTGTCCCGTGTTTTTGTAATCAAACATTCACTTCCCTGTGACCAATAATTCTTAAAGTTATGTCACTTCATCAAACCATAAATCCCAATGAAGTAGTGGCATAATGCTACACACTTATCATTTAGGTACCATTTATTTCCTGACAGCTATTTCGAGATTTTTACCACCATTCACACTTTCTGGAGTCAGCGTTTCAGTGACTCTCTTAAGGGCCCATGGCTTGAAAGTACCAGAAGGAAGCCAGATTTCAACTTAGCACCTCTGACTTAGAATCCAGAATCTCTCTCATATACATTGAATATGCTAGTCCGAGGGCGCGGAAATAAGAAAGCACTATTGGGGAGGGGACCCTCAAGACGCTGTATCCTGCCAGGTGGATGCTTCCCTTAAAGATAGACTATATTCCTCAAGGAGAAGGACATTTAATAGGGTAAACGTGAGAATTCTGGATGTTTTCCCTGTGGGTTTACTTTTAAGCTCACATTCTAATACTCTAAGAATTGTCCGAAAAAAGAAACTAGATCTAAGAAAAAAAGACCTGTAAGGAGATTATTTAGTAGGCAAGAGAATAGAGCTAGTGGACGACTATGTATTGACCATCATCCATGCTAGAGAGGGATAGGATTCCAGGTGAGGAGTGGGCGGAGGACCTCCTGAGATCAGATCGTGGAGGATCCACATTATTAGCGAGCCCAGAAAGGAGGGAAGGCATATGACGAAGTAGCTAGATCTCCCCCAGAGAGCCTGCTTCTGGGACTGAGATTAGGAATACTAGTCAGTAGTATTCACGGAAGACTGGCTTCATATTATTTGTGACTTCTGTCTACCAAAGAGTATCCTGGGATATTGGATTGTGTCATTATCTGCCTTTTAATTTTTTTACGGCATATCAGAGAGAAGACAGGTCCACCAGGGACCCAATCTATGAGTAAACAGTGAAAGTCAACCCACAAGTCCAGGAGAAAGCTACACAACTCCCCAAAAAGATGTCCTTTCTTCAAACTCAGATTGTACAAATGGGCATCCACAGATGTTCTACCTCTGCCAAACCGATCACAGTCACTCTCACCTTGTAGGAAGTCACAAACCAGTGCCCTCTGGAGGTATGATGATGGCCAGTGTAGGTCAGGACCAATAGTACTTCTCAAGTTACGAGGACAGCAGGTGCTTCTGCTCCCCGGCTGGTGTGCTTGTTCCTTGTCTAATTGGTCTGAACCTTCCTGCGATGCATAGCAGCACGTTCTCAAACACATACGTGAAAGCTTCGGCCCAAATAATGACACTGCTAAAAATGACAGCTCATATGACATACCATTAAGATAGTTCTCTTTTTCCCCTAGTTTCAAAACATATTTTTTGATTATTAATTACGACCAGCAGAGTGTATATGCCTCAGCTGGTTAGCAACAGTGACAGTTTCTGTGGGTGGCTCCTGACTCATTTGGGAGAAAAACCCCTACAGCAGAATGAGAGGGAAAGTACCATTATCTTCTTTCCCCTGTGCCTTTGGCTCTTAACCATGTAAAACTTCACTTTGTTCCACAGGGAAACATTTTAGGATCACATAAGTTGTTAGGCCACTGGTACAGAGTAAAACTAAAGTCTGGAGACATAGAAAATTCTTTCCTTCCATTCCAGCTCTCTGATATTCCCCCCCACCCCTTATTGCTTTTCTGTGAAGGCAGAGAAAAAAAATTTCTTCTGCTGAATCGCCAGCTTTAACAGCAGTGGCCCCAGATCCACTAGGTTTTTAATGCCGAATCTCCATAATCCATGTTTATATAAATACAGAAATAATATGACATTCCTCAGTCTTCCATGTGAATTTAAGTTTCTATCATTGGAGAAAAGCATCTCTTAGAATATGAATTAGACAAGCCTGGCAATGAGGGAGGGACATTTAATGAGTGTTCTCTTTCTGGGTTTTAAAAGAAATTATCTCGTGCTGTTTCCAAGAATTGTGAGTCCTCATATAATGTATGCTCAGAAAATTTGCTTTAAAGTGGTATTAGAAACTTTTTTTTCTATAACTCTTCTGAATTTTACAAAGCATAAGACTCCTAAAACAGTTTGTCATTTCTGATACCTCTGGGATATCAGAAATGACAAACTGTTTTAGGAGTCTTATGCTTTTGGGGGGCTGTTGAATTTCATCTGTTTTAAATATTAGTAACAATATGCTACTTAGCCTTTCTTTTCCTCTAGTAGGAAAATGTATTCCATTCCTGCGACATGATTATCAGCATCTCTTGTTTACTACTCAATGTGTATTCTTTGAGGCAAAGTCACCAGTATCCACTCAGTGTGTCCCTATGTTCCCAAGCTCAGAAATAACTTATTTGGGACTTGGCTGTACATGGGCGGGTGGGAGGTTCAGTTTATCTGCCTGGCAGATGTTGCTCCCATTTGCTCCCCTGTCAAATGCCTTTGCTGTGGCCCGTGGGGCGTGGCAGGCTGGGGCACAGGCAGGGGCACAGCCAGCACGGGCGGGTTAGGAACAGAACCTCCATGCTGCTGAGCACAGACAGACCAGACCCATTGTGGCAGCAAAGCTTCAGGTTGATAACAAACTCCATGTTCCCCCGTGTTTCTCTTTCGCAGATAATTTCAAACGATGACTGTGAATCCATTATCATCGAAGTACCTCTGAGATCCATTTTGCTCTCGTTCTTTGCAGGTATTTTAGGGTCGCTCTACTTCCCTCCTCAACTGATGTCAGCTGTCTATTTCGAACAAAAGTCCATCCAGCCACGGAATCCATCTTATTCAGTGATATGTTCAGAGTGGCCATTTCCCAGACAGCCTTACAGCAGAAGACACTGAGAGTAGACCTTTGCTGTGTTAGTAAACAACGAAGGGAAGAATGCCTGGTAGGAGTTTTCGTAATTGCCATTATCTAATAATGCTTAAGACTGGAGATTCTGGAGGAATTTTCTAGTTGCTATTTCGTCAGCCCTGGTACCACTAAAAATCTTCCCAACGCCTCAGACAGAGCCACTGGTGGTTTTATTTATTATCCGAAGTAGTGATTTCAAGTTTTTATTCTCTTAATCTAGACCTTTAACACCTGCTTATAAATTGTGATTTTCTGTAAAATCTACTTTCCATTTCTACCCTTTGGCTAAAGAAGCACTTTCACCTCTGTTATGACTATCACTATGGAGTATATTTATCATTTCAGTGTGAGGCTTGTGCTAGGTGCTTTGTATACATTATCTCATTTAATCCTCCTGACAATTTTATGAAAAAGGTATAATTCCCTCTATTTCATATAGAAGACCGCTTAGAGAAGCAATGTGTCCAGAGTCACACAGCTAGTAAATGATGGACCCAGATATCAAAAAGACATCCCACACATAATTCACTGTTACAAATTTAAATTAAGCAAGACACTTAGTATATAGTTCCTTTATTCAGTTCATTACTGCCAGTCATGGTATTAGAGCTTCTAGGAAGCTCTAACACATACGTGTTGCTGTTTAGAGCAATATGATATTTAAATGCAGGAGACTTCGTGCATAATGAATAGTAAGTTTAACGCACCATTGTGTATAATAACCAGAAAATCATTATATATCCGTAAATTTACATAAGGTATTCAAAGGTATGGGTCTTTAGTTGAACTTTTCTCTGCAGTACAATAGGAAACATAGAAACACATGTTTCACAATGAACAACGTTTTTAAAAAGTGATCTCTTATTAATATTTCTTTATCTGTATATAAAAAATATCTGATATTGTCTGACAAAGAAAGAAAAGAAGCAAAGATAACAGACTCATTAGGCTGTCAGAAGGCTTAGATATGTCAGATATGTCAGAAGTTCCATAAAGTTAATAAATATGTTAATTGATAGCCTTTTAGAAAATGGTAGTTTAATTTAGATTCTGGCTGATATGTGCAATTCGGTGGAATAGAAAAGCTTTTAACCTTTAATTTTTTTGACATTCTACTAACTTACTTATCCAAAGAAAAAATTTGCTGATTTCTCACTTAAGAACCACAGTGGAGTTTTCATTTGTTTCTTTTACAATTTTCAGTTGATATGGATTCTTTTGAATAATAAATCATTCTTATAACATATTATAAGACGTATTATGGTTTATACTTAATCATTTATTTTTTAATTTTTATTTTTTAAACCTTTTATTTAAAATAATTTCATACTTATAAAATGCTGCATGTGTAGTCATTAGGTTTAGACAAAATAGTATCTCACAAAATAACCCCAAGGTTGGCTTTTAGAGGGATTATTTCTTATTTACTCACACCTGAAAATATAAAACATGTCGTTTTTTTTTAATCCATCAATGCTTTTTATAATGAGTACTACATTTTTTAACCCTAAAACAAGCTTGCCCAATAATCTTATATCAGGAGGAGCAAATATGAATTTAAACATTTTATTTTCTCTTTTTTTTTTTTTTTTTTTTCACGTCTCATAGGCTGGAACTCAAATCAGTCTGGCAGATTTACCATTTTCCAATGAGGTTTTCACTCTGTGGTATAACTTGCTTCCCTCTAAGCAAATGCCTTCCAAAAAGAATGAAGAAGAAAATGAGGATTCTGTATTTCAACCAAACCAGCCATTAGTAGATCCTATAGACTTGGTGAGTCAAAGTTAGAGAAAAAAGTCATTACAATTAAATAAAATAATATGGGATATAGAATGCTATGATACCAGTGTGTTTTTATTCACTTTCACTATCCTTTCTTTTCTCCTTTCACAGTTTACCTTTTCTCCCAGCTTCCTAAAAAATGGAAGGAAGGAAGGGAGGAAGGGAAGGGAAGGAGGAATTTCTAGCTCTGCTTCAAGTATAGTTTATAAAAGAATGGCTTGTTTCTGCTCACACGTCCTTCCATAAAAATAAAACAATGTTGAGGCTTCATCGTTTTATGCGACCATAAAAAACATTTTCATTTAAATTTATACTTTCCTACATTGTGTTCACTGTCAAGTTATACATTTGGAACTATTTTATTTTGCAAACGTTAAAAATTCTTAAGCTTAAACAGTATTTTAGTTTCCATTTTTAATATCAATATTCGTAAGTATTTTCTATTAAAACGCCTATTGAAAACAACAGTCATACTTAAGTACTTCAAAAATTTTACAAAAAGACATTTAATGAGGCCATTCATCAGTGATTTTTATATTCGTAGATATTGTTTCTGAGTTCACGTTGATTTTAGATTGTCTATAAGGAAAGATTTTACTAAATATAAGTCAGATAATTAAAGCAACAGTTCTCTATTGATCATCTAGTAAGTCAGATAATTAAAGCAACAGTTCTCTATTGATCATCTATAGTGGACATTGTGGTAGGTGGGAAAAGAGAAACAAAAGTGTTGGTAGAACTTACATTACACGCCCAGGTTTGTGGTAGACACCAAGTAAGGCGTAAAGATGATGAAGTATGATTTATACCTTTTAGAATGCTTTTATAACGGTCACACTGTGTATAAATTTTTTAACAGCTTTATGCAATGTAATTTACATATACGATTCACCCATTTATAGTATACAGTTTGCCCATTTGAAGCACACAATTCAGTAGTTTTTAGTAAATTCGCAGAGTTGTACAACCATCCCCACAAGCTAACATTAGAACATTGTCATCATCCCAAAAGGAAGCCCCATACGCATTAGGTAGCAGTTGCTCCTGGTTCTCCACAAACCCTTTTACCAAGGCAACCACTAATGTTTCTATATAAATTTGTTTATTATAGACATTTCATATAAATGGAATAGTACAATATTTGTTCTTTTGTGAATGTCTTCTTTTACTTAGCATTATGTTTTCAAGGAACATCCAAATAACAGCATGTATTAATACTTCATTTCTTATTATTTCCAAATAATATTTCATTGTATGGATATACTACCTTTAATTTATCTATTCATCAGCTGATGGTCATTTGGGCTATTTATACTTTTTGCCTATTATTAATAATGCTGCTATGTACATTTTTATACAAGAGTTTATATGGACATATATTTTCATTTCTCTTGGGACTATACCTGGAGTGGAATAGCTGGATCATATGGTGAATCAGTGTTAACATTTTAAGGAACTGTCAGACCGTTTTCCAAAATGGCCGCACCATTTACATTCTCACCAGCAATGCAGGAGGGTTCCAGTGTCCCCACACCCTTGCCACATGTCATGAGCCTGTCTTTTTGATTCTAGCCATGTTTGTGGGCATTAGTGGGAGAGCTCTGTGGTTTTGATTCACATTTTCCTAATGACCGATGATGTTGAGCTTATTTTCATGGACTTACTGGCCGTTAGTACATTCTTTTTTTTTTTTTTAGAACTGTCTACTCAGATCCCTTGTCTTTTTAAAATGGGTTATTTATCTTTTTATTATTGAGTTATGAGTTCCTCATGTATTCTTGATACAAGTCTCTTATCCAATAAATTGCAGATATTTTCTCATATTCTCTGGGTTATTTTTTACTTTCTTGATGGTTTCCTTTGCAGTAAAGTATTAAATTGTGATAAAAGTCAAATCGTGTATTTTTTTCTTTTACTGCTTATGCTGTTGGGGTCATATCTTAGAAGGCATTGCCAAACCTAACATCACAAAGATTTACTCCTGTGTTTTCTTCTGAGAGTTTTAAAGTTTAGTTTTATTTTTAAGTCTCTATTTATTTGAGTTGTTTTTTATGTGTAATATGAGGAATGGGTCATTCCAATATCATTCTTTTATATGTAGGCATACAGTTGTCCCAACACTATTTAGTGAAACAA